AAAAAAAAAAAAAAAAGAGAGAAAGAAAGAAAGAAAAGAAAAATAACAGTGGAGTGGGAAGAAAAGGGAGACAATTATCTCAAGTCTGGGTCTATGAAAAGAAACTGACTTCTGGGACCAGAAAATTTTACTATAGTCCTATCTCTGGTATATATTAGCTATATAACCTCATCTTTCGTTTCTATTTTTTAGTTATCAAAAAACTAGAGTTGAATGAATGATAGCCAGAATCCTTTCTAGTTCTAAAATCTGCATGGTTCTATGCCCTAGCACTGACTTCCCCACCTTCCTTTTTATAAAACACAGAAGAAAATTAATCTGATCACATTTTAGATTCTCTTGGCATATTTGGCAGTTTAGAATCTAGTTGGCTGTACCAAGGCTGGTGGTTGGTCAGCAAAGCTGATCTGCATGGGTGAACAAAAATGTAATCGTGTATGTAACTATTTTGTTTTGTTTTGCTTTGCTTTTTAAAGAAGCTTTCAGAATTATTATAATTCCAAACAAGGAAGGATGAAGCTAGTCAGGGCTTGATGGTTAAAAGTAGCAATTGTGCAGTTTCACAGTCCTTGGGTTTAGGAGCTCCAAAAGGGAGGTCTTTACTTCCATTAGCATTAGAAAGGAAGTCTTGTTAGGAGAGGTAGCTATACGCTTGTACTGGAAGGCAGAACAGACCTGGAGGCAGTGACTCCATAGAAGAACTGGTGGAAGGAATATAGAAGCTCACAGAGGCCTGGCAGGGACCCAAAATTTGTTGTGAATGTTCTAATGGCCTTCATTTCCTGATGCCGAGACTGCCTCTCCCAAGTGGCCACTATCTGAGTTAATGGGAAATGGCAGAAAAGAACCTGGGTTTGTCCTGTAATACAGAAGAGGCACCTATATGCAGAGGTTGACACACAATTTAAGAGTGTGGCTAGGACAGTCTTTTAAATTGATTGTTTGATTTTCAGGTACTGGTTTGGAAATCCTTGAGCTGGAAATATATCATAATAGCAGACACCATGACCACTCTATCAAAATACCAAGGCAGTAATTATAATAGTGGTTCTCAAACTTGAGTGTGCAGCAGGGTTGCAAGGAAACTTAAACATTCAGATTCCTAGAATGCAGTCCAGAGAATCAGATTGAGCAGCACTGGGATGGAGCTCAGCAATCTGCACTTTCTAGTGAACACCTCCATGGAGTTCTGGTAGTTTCCTAACCACAGCTTTGGAAACCAAATCTTAGGAAACACTGGTAAGGTAGAAAGACCATGTGCATTGGAATGAGCTACCAAAATCCCTGATCAGCCACTTATTTGCTATGCAATCTTGGGCCCCCCCACACTTAACTTCCCTAGCCAAAAGATGAAATGACATGACCTAATTTACAGGGTTGTTATAAGAATTAGAAATGACATTTTAAGGCACCAAGGACAGAATTAACATATACTAGGCACTAAAAAACGATTTCTGCTATGATTACATTAAAGTGATAAGGTGCCTGCTCCATCAAAGCATGTTTGGATGTCTTCTTGGAAATCAAGCGCACCCTGCCCACACTGTGTATAATGCTGTGAACTGCTCCAAGACGTATATACTCCCAGGCCCTTACTCTGCTCTTCTTTTTATTCTATAGAATTTACTACCTTTTAACCCACTATATAATTTACTTATTTATTATGGTTATTGAAACCTAATAGAATACAAACCTTATAAAGGCAGGGATTTTTGTTTGTTCTATTCCCTAACATTCACATCACCTAGAAAGTACATGGCAAAAGATAGGTACTCAGTAATTATTTGTTGAATAAATACTGCAATTCTCTATTACTAGAAAAAAAATGTATTTTTGTTGTTGTTTGGATTTTTTCCAGTGTCCATACTGCTTATATTCCCTTACTTTTAAATCATGACGCTCCATTTCCAATATCAACACCTATTAAAAACTGGCTAACATAAAATGATACTCTGTGAGAGCACTGAAAATCAAAGAATCATGAATATCTAGACAAAGTCATTGGTATTATCCTAACCAGAAAGCTCTCACTGACTAAATCACTGACACACGAATTGTTCTGAAAATTGTTGCTACTGTAACTAATATTGGGAATTCCAGAGAAAACTCATCATTGCTCTTGGGATTAGTAAGAACTTCAGAGCAGAATG